TTTTCAGCTGTCAGAAAATAAAACATGACAAACATAAAAAGAAATAAAATTAATAAAAACACAATAAATAAAAATAATCAGTTTATATTAGTGCTGACAGCTGATTGGTCCTCAGCAGTGGAATCCTTTTTAGTGTTCAATCCGTTGCCATGGTTACAGTAGTGATGGGACGTGGCTGTCACCTGTGTCATCACACCTGCAGTGCGCCGCTCTTTATTTTGAGCTTATTTTGTAAAACTTTATTTTCTGTGTTTTTAGCTTCACATTGACATCACGCTAACTGATCATGTGACTTGCCAACAGCTACAACGCTAACCGGTCACATGACCGGCACACTGACGTCATGCTTACTGATCATGTGACTGGTCGGTGTTGACATTTTAGTGTTTTTTGTTCTTTAAGTTTTAACAAAGTTTTGGTTTACGTTTGAATCTGATATCTATTTGAATATTATTCATCAATGTGTGATCATTGATTCCTGATCAGGACTTTGATGTAGATTCTAACTCAATTCAGTGTAATCAGACACATTTAAACAGAGCAAGAAAACCTGCTTCATTCATGAATGTAGCAGGTAGTAATGTAGTAATGCTATTAGCTGAGCATTATGGATCGATCCGCTGTGGTGTCAACACGTCACGTTAGTGTTTAGCTACATGCTAACATCCCGGCATTGTTAGCACCCAACAGTGTTACCTTGTTTATAATGTAGTTTAAAGAGTTTAGCTAAATGCTAAATATTAACAGAGGTTGTAACATGTGTCCGCCTGCTGACCACGCCCACCTGACACAAAAGTGACTCGTCTTTTCTGACGGCGTGCTGTGATGGCGTTCTGCTGCCGAGGACGGGACTTCACCCTCTTCCGTCTCTGATGATGTCATCACTTCTTCTTGATGGCGGTGAGGTCTCGCTGCAGCTCAGAGAACTTGGGTCGGTCCTCAGGATTGTACTGCCAGCAACGCTGCATCACTTTGTACACATCGTCAGGGCACCGCTGAGGACACGCCATCCTGTATCCTAGCAACCAGGAGGAGGGGGGGTGTCATTTCATAATGACATCGTCACGAACATTTATACACTGTATGTCATCATAACATCATTTGAACCATGTGATACAAGGTCGTGTCTATCTAGATATGATGTCAAATGATCACTTCGTTTTTTAATGATGAACTGATTAATGTAATCAATTACTTAACTGATGAGGCCTAAACGCCGGCTTTACCTTTTTCCACCTGCTCTCGAGCCTGCTGATTGGTCATCCCAGGATAAGGACACACCCCCAGGCTAAAGGTTTCCCACAGCAGGATCCCGTAACTCCACACATCACTCTCTGAGCTGTAACGACCTGCAGCAGCCAATCACAGAGCAGGGCAGTCAGACCAATTACAGCAGGACACAGAGCACACAACTGCTTTACACATGGCGTTACCATAGTTCAGGGCTTCAGGCGCCGTCCATTTGATGGGAATTTGTTTGAGTCCGGATGAAGAATAAATGCCGTCATCCTCCTGACGACTCATCCCAAAGTCACTGATCTTCAACACGCTGCCCTCCCCCACCAGACAGTTCCTCGCCGCCAGGTCCCTGAGGTTAAAGGTGGAGGTTAAATCAAGGGACTGCAAGTTTAAAGTGGGATTTCAATTTGCTCCATGTCTGAGCCGCCATTAACGGAAACCTAAATGCTGCTTGGGTTTTTTTGTTCTGATCTTCAAAAGATTAACGAGCATTAAGGAAGTTTCTGGAAGACCATACGATGTGTTCACAGAATATAAGACACCACATCACTCCATTACCTGTGGATGCAGTTCTTGCTCTCAAGGTACGCCATACCGGCGGCAGCGTCAACAGAGAAGCGAACAAGCTGCTTCGTTTTCAACTCGTCTTTCTTCTTCCTGAGAAAGGACAGGAAGTCTCCACCTGGCAGAGACGGCAAGCGTCACACAAACACACCTGTTAAACACTTGAACCAATGAGAAATCAGCAACAGGCAGGTGACGCTCCACCCACCAGGAACCAGCTCCATGACGATGTAGATCGGTTGTCGCTGCGTACAAACGCCAATCAGCTTCACGATGTTCGGGTGGTCGTACTGCTTCAGTATCCTGCAGCAAAACACAGACAAGCAGCATGAGACACCAGCCCATCACACGGTTGACGAAGATGGCCGCCCACATTGAGTATAGAGGTTTCTTTCAGTTGGTCGGGAGTTATTTCTTTTCTCAGTAACAATCCTGCTCATTGTAGGGACTGTTGGTTTTCTGTATCATTTTTGAGGTCTTGACTTCACTGGGCCTTGAGATAATGCATGCAATGATTGCGCTTTACTAATAAAATTTAATTTCACAAAACAAAAACTAAGGAGTTGAATCTCAATTCAATAAAGTGTTTGTTGCAGCGGTCGTAGAACTGTTATTTTCAGGGTTCATGTGAAAATCTGACCTGGCCTCAGACAGGAAGCGGATCTTCAGCTCTGGAGGTAAATCCTCTTTACACGTTTTAACAGCCACCGGCGTTTTGTCGCGCTGCAGTGTCCCTTTAAACACCTCGCCAAAGTTACCCTGGCAACAGGCAGACAGCGGGGCATGATGGTTAATGGAGGCAGAGAGAGGTTACACATGTTTAAATGGATACACTGAGGGCGTGTGCTGTGTTGTCACCTTTCCCAGCAGGTCCCCGAGCGTCACGTCCTCATGGTTCAGGATCCACTTCTTATCCTGAAGTCAGTCAGTCAATCAATCACTGGGCTCAGACATGCTATTGTGCTCATGTATGTGTAGGTGAACATATGAGTGGTTACCTTGACGACGGGGTTGAGAAGAACAACTCCAGACTTTTTGGTGATGACCTGCTTGGTGGAGAAATGATGCTCGATGAGCTGAGGGATTGTGGAGAAACCTGTCCCTTCAAAACGGTACTGATTCTACCAGAGAGAGAGAGCGGAGGGAAGAACAAGTCAGTGTCTTATTATTACAGAGATTTCAAAATTATATTCAAATCTATTTTTTAAGTGTAGTTGTTCAAAGAATGTTTTAACAATACGTACGTCGGCGAACTGGATGATGAAGTGTCGTCGCTGCTCATCAGAAAACACCGACAGGACGTACTCGCCTGGTTTACCGTGACTCTCCCTCACCAGGAAGTCTCCCTGTTGCCGTAGCAACTCCTGAGCCTCAGTGCGCGGGATAGCACCATGATACCACTCCTGCTCCGCAAGGGGGCGGTCCGAGGTGGGGATCACATCAAAGAACTGCTGCATGGGAGGGGACAAACTCTTTACAACAACCAAACACACAGCATCAGTCACTTCACGTTTATCCAATCAGAGTGAGAGTCTCACCGAGGAGGAGGAGCCAAGCATTGATTTAGGAGAGCGAATCATTCCAGCGAGAGAGTGACGCAGCGTGTCGAAACGAGAAGTCTTCTCCTTCGTCTTATCCTTAACGCACGCACACACAAACAAACACACACACAAACAAACAAACCTGTCGTGTTTAAACATATAATTGAAAAAAGGAGCATTTATTTTGAAAGTCTTCTGTAGTTCCTGTGCAGACTTACGGTAGATCCCACAGAACGAGCATCGTCCTCATATGGCAGTGCAGGGGGAGGCGGTGGTGGTGGAGGGGAGGTGGTGGCAGCAGCCATCTTGTTGTCCAGCAGTGCCTTCTGGGAGGCGAGGCGAGCCTCGGATCCACGCAGTGATTGGACAGCGTGACGGAGCTCGAGGAGAGAGAGTTTCTGACTGAGCAGCAGCACACAGCTGAGGGCGAGAGAGATAGAAATGAGGAGAGAAAGAGAGATACAGAGAGAGATGAAAACAGACGAGACTCACTCGCTCCTCCGCTCGCCATCTTGCTGACTTGTCTGAATCTTGTTGTCGAGGTCATCGGCCAACGCCTCCTTCGTCCTCAGGTTCTGCTGAGTGAGTGTCAGCTCCTCTGTTGCTGACGACATCCTGAAAACAAAATCAGTCGCAGATTTTATTTTAACAGGAAACAGTGAAGTGACAGTTTTATTTTTTCAGTAGCTCACATGGCCTGCAGACTGTCAGCCGTCAGCGTGTTCCAGAGGATCTCGTTGGCCGGCAGGTTGTCCGTCTCCTCCAATAGAGTCGTGTCAAACTCCACGGTCGGCTCCGGAGTCTCTGGGGACCTGAGGGGGAGACAGACACTGTTACCTCGGTACACAGGAGAGAGATTTTTACCACGGTAACCACAGAGTGTGTGATGCTGGGACCTGTAGGCATCAATGAAGTGTTGATACTCAGCGAGCGGATCGATCTGCTGAACAGCTGCGGAGATTTCCTGATGAACTTTAACGATGTCGTCGGTCAGAAGACTGCTGATCTCACAGTACTCCTCCAGGATGCTCTTCCTGCAGTAATTTAGTAGTAATAGATTACATTTACTGCTGAAACACAGAGGTACCCGCTCAGTTAGCGGTGAATGTGTCAGGGGTCATGTGACTCACAGTGCGAGCGTCATATCCTCCTGCATCCTCTGCAGAGCGTCGAGCAGAGCAGGCGCAGCGTGGCGTCGGTGGTCGTCCTGCTGCTTTCTAGCACCGCACACCGCCAACACATACTGGTTATGAAGGTTGTGCAGCTTGGCAGTGACTTTGTCGTAACGCTCACGGGCGCGCTCTGCCTCCCGGCCTGTGATTGGATCGGAAGCAGGGAGGGGGAGAAAAAACGTCAACAACTTCTTCACGTTGGAACTAGAAGCTCTCCAACACAAACTGATCACAGATCATAAAAAACCTTTTGTCAGAGCTTCTTTGTATTTTTCTTTGGCATTGTTTGCGTCACGGCTCAACTGACGATACGTCGCCTTCAGCTTCTCCAGGTCACTCCTGGTTACCTATCAACAACACACACCAGATTAAGGACGGAAAAACCAGATGAGATGATGCTGTGTTTCAGATTATTTCCCAGCAGACCTTGTGATTGTGGCTCTCTAGCTGCTGATGAAGACTCTGGTAGCTCTTCTTCACCTGCTGCTTGTCTCGTATCAATGTGGCGAGGCGGTGCAGAGGACCTGAGTTCAGCTCGTCAGCGTGACTCCTCATCACCCGCCCCAACGCCTCAGTCTGACGAATCACCTGCGACCATGACTGACACACACACAGAGAGAGAGAAAAGAAGGTCTGACTGTGGATCTGACACTGGGCCAAAGACACTGGGACTGAATGAACAGGTAAGACCGCTCACCTTGCTGACTGTGCTGACGTAGTCAGCAGCTTCCTGTTTTTCAGTTTGCTGAGTCATGTTAAGCAGCAGAGCAGCGTACTCCTTATCGCTCTTCACCCGCAGAGTCATGAATCGCTTCACTGTCTCCAGCAGCTAGAGGGCGACAAACACACACTTCTTATCTGACAGCCTTTAAATGTTTTTTTTTACAGTGTAGATGTCAGTTGACTAAACCAGCCACTAGGGATACTCTTTTGGGTAGTTCTAGTGCCGGTCCCAAGCCCGGATAAATGGTGAGGGTTGCGTCAGGAAGGTCATCCGGCGTAAAACTTGTGCCAAAACAAACATGCGGATCACAAATAGGAGGGGTAGTGGATATATTGGCAGATGATCCGCTGTGGTGACCCCGAAAAGGGAGCAGCCGAAAGATGAGGAAGAAGAAGAAGATGTCAGTTGACTCATGTCAACACTGACCTGAGGAGCTGATCTCAACACGTCTCAACTTAACATGTAACATACATGTTTCAGAAGATAAGATCATTAAACGTGGGCTCTGACACATGTGAACTTCAGCGAGACAAACCTTTAACTCCCAGTCCTGCAGCTTCAGTAAACCCTCATGGGAATTCCTCAGATCTCGACCAAACCCCATCCTGACCAGTCCCACGCGCACACTAACACAGACACTAACGGCGAGGGCGAGCAGGGAATGATTGCATGGTCATCTGTGGAGAGAGAGAGAGAGAGAGAGAACAGAGGTTAAAAGTCAGTGTAACAAAATATGATCACATGTCACAGTAAGACATGACAGCTGACAGGACATACACGTGTTTTTCTACACTGACAAGTCAACATCATTGATACGCTTCATGACACTGACGTGAGATGTGGTTTTTAAACTGAACAAACTGAAGCTGCTTCAAACTGATTTAAAAAACTCCACAGCATCAAAAACACAGGGAACCAATGAGTCAAACAAATGAAGTCTTGATTAAACCTCTTAATTCATCTAGACATTCAGCTCCACCAACGCTGACGTTAAGTCGATGCTAACAACTGCAGCTCCTTAAAACACACGGGAGAGTAAAGTGGAGATGACAGTGGCCAGGCCTCCTCGTTAAACTAAAGGAAACTAAAGTTAAGCTAGTGTTAGCCACTCCTGTGGGAAAGTGAAGTCAGGCTAACTCTAGCCACTCCTCTTCATTAAAGCCAATGGGAAAGTGAAGTCTCGCTAACTCGAGCCGCTCCTCCTCGTGAAAACCTCCGGTGAAGCGAAGTTAAACTTTGATCTGTGGGAAACAAACTAACAGAGACAGTCGCGTGTTTTCTTCCTGCTCGTGAGGTGAAGAAAGGCTGGAGGAGGAGTGGGACAGTCGGGAGGGGGCTCCCTGTTTTTCCACTTCTCTTCGGCTCTTTTCAGCCGCAGTCACGCACCGGGAAGCGGCTTCGTTCTTCGGCGGACTCGCTGTCCGGTCACCGCGTGTCTCTGACGTCCTCCGCCGGGACCATCTCCTCCTGTTCTCCGTGTTTTTCTCCTCCGCACCCCCGGCTTCTCCTCCTGTCGTCCGGTCTCAGAGCTAGGTGGCTAACGGCTAACAGGGAGGGGCTTCCGCGGGAAACGGAAAGGGGGAAAGGGGGGAGGGG